CCTCTCTCTCTCTCTCTCTCCCTCTTCCATTTACTTATGTTTTGCCCGAAAAGTTTCTGATTTTATAGTGCTGAAATTAAAATAAAATAGTATGAGACAATTTGACATACTTCTAGATTAAAATAAAAGTGTAGGTATTTGGTACAAAGATATTTTAATCCATGAATAACTACAATCTTATAAAGAGTAAACAATAGTAGGAATATTGTTAAAATGAGGTGAATTTATTGATTCATATTTAAAAGAAAGAAGTAAATTTTAGAAAAATAAGTACTTTAAAAAACATTTCAACTGGTAATAAAACGAGCATTTTCAATTGATATGCTCACAAAAAATTTAATAACAGTGAGCTACCTTTAATTCTTCTGACCTCACTTGAATTGGTTTTTGCGTTCACTGAAAAAAATATGCAAAATATCAAGTAATAAAGAACGTTTACTTTTTCGTAAATATTTCAGAGACATGTGAGCTTTGAAATTGATCTCAATTAATGTTTCGCTATAAATTATTAATGGTTCAGTTTCAAGGAAATCAAGATAAGACCGAATTTGATATATTAGTGCATAGGAAAAATTTATGGTGGATACAACAATATTGGTTTGGATTGCGTTTTTGCCACAAATTTTATGGTAGACAAGAACCTCTCAAGAAGGTAATTCGATGTTGCGTTAATTATCAAACAAATATTATAAATAAGTAAATTAGTTGCAAAATAAATGAAAGAATTAAAAAAGGCACTTGACCATTATTATAAATATTCCTTGGAACCACAAGTAGAGACCAAACAATATAAATAACTTTCAATTAAAATCAAATAATCGGTCGTTGCTCAACTTTGTCGGTCACAGCTGAACGATTCTTAGAAGCACGATTACTAATCAACAAAAGGGATGGAAACTTATAAATCACTGCAAAATAATGTTAAACTTTGAACTTTTTAGTCTGATAACAAGGAGCGAAAGTTACAGCTGAATCTCTAAAAAATGAAACGATGACTTTGAATGTATCGTAAATGTAGCAGGACATGTCGAGATTTCAGTAATAAGGAATAGATAAAGTAAATTTACTGATTCCAAACAAGCCCGTCCCATAACTAATCATTGAAATTGCAGCGATGAAGAACTGACTGATCATTTAAATTCCTTAACGTGACCAATGCTTGTTATCTTCTTGATGCTGCTGGCGATTAAATTTTTGGATGCGAAGGAACTGCCCTGTTGTAATTGCTTATCAATCGATTTTAGGTGTAATCCGGCACAGTAACCAAAGCTTCCAAAATATTTTTCGTACAAACAAAGAAATACAGGAAATCACTCTGCACTCCCTTCGCTTTGTTGCTTTACATATTTACAACAAATCGTTTGAATGGAAATCTTGATAAAGTTAAATCAAAGGATGAAACAAAATTTCAAAAGCAATGGGACTAATTGAAAATTCTACTGGGGTAAGCTCTCAAAAAAATGTAAATAATGGCTTGCAGATTTCCTAACCTTCTTTGCATGGAATTTATTCATACAATCCTTCCCAACTGAAAATCCCAAAAACATAACCACTGCGATTGGGATAAGTCGTGAAAAAACTGCTCAGAATCTCAGCGACAGGATCCCTTACATTTCAGTTGTGCAAAAATTGTCAAGGTGAGGAAACGCTCTGAAGAATTTAGATCTCTCGAAGCAAGACGACATCAGAGGCCAAATGAAAGAATCGGCTTTAACATTCATTCAAACTAGTCCTTAAAACTGTCTTCTATAGTTCCAAATTCTCATGGATTTTTCGTCTCTAATCATTTTTGACCTCGTTTATAAGCTACAACAATTCTGCAGCAAATATAGAAAATGAAGTGGCTGACAGATCATAGGATTTAAGGGACTTAAGTTTGATATGGCCGAAGGGAAGAAAGCAACATAAAATCTCGGAGGAGGAGAAGATTTAGATTGATAAAAGTCACTTCATGGCGAAAAAACCAGAGACGAACGTAAAGGACGAACTTCAAATCGACTAATGCCAATCACTATACCATGGAGCGAAATGCCTTTACCTAGTGCAGCTACTATATCGTGTCTTCCTAAGGGATTTATGGAAAAAAGCATATTTTCAATGGATAATTTCATGGACTGTCATTTTTCAATTTCAAAATTCTTTTTTTTTGAAAATTACACTTAAAAATAACTTAAGTGAATAAATGTACATTCTAACTTAAAGCTATAAAACGAAAATTTTCACCAATTTAGCACGTAATTTAAAACGAAATTGAATATGGACGAGAGATATGCCAACGAAACCGTAGAATCCAATTAAGCCGAATTGAATCGAAAGCTACTCATATTGGATTTCCATCGAACGATAAAGTGATGATACGAGAATGATGAAAAAAGAATTAGGAAGGTTGCTAACTAGTCATTATTGGTGTGGGGGAGTGAATCAGTGAAATTAAACTTGATTTGTACTGTCAAATGTGAGACAAAATTTGGAACTGAAGGGAGTTGCCGATTTCAACTATTAGACTGTTCAGTTCATTCAAAAAAAGTAGAGGAATTATAGTAGAGGACAGAGGAATCAAAAGTCTATGGATTTTTCGTAGTAATAAAAATAATGTTATCACGGTAATTAATCAAACAAACAATAGCCTTTATTATGATTGCTACAGCCATTATCATCATTATCACCATTGCTACCTTATAATACAAAATTTTCAAGAAATTCATTACTTGTTACATAAACTGCAAAAGTGTGAAGACAAAAAGCATTACTTTGACATGAACCAAAACTGATGATAACGATAGGCAGCTTCGCATCTTAAGACTAAGCCACGAACATCATCATTATAGCATAATCTGTTCACAGAATCTACATTAGGACTTGACAAGAAAGTAAGAACTGCAATGTATTGTCATCACTACTACCAATCCAATATTTTTATCAACTTTTACATTGGATAACACAGGTAAAATCTTCGTGATTCCTTATGCAAATTGACAATTGAATTAAATCATCCAATTTCTTCCAGAAAAATAAGAAAGAACAAAGCTGCTATGATAGAATATGCAAGAATTTCCTCGCAGACAAGTTTGCAAATGACAGATAGTAGTGGTTGATTTCAGGTTGCAAATAGCACTTTTAAAAAGCTATTCAAGAAGGAGAAAGAAGGAGAAAAAAAATACTTCAAAACTGTAAAAACAATCAACTGTTCATTCGTTTTAATATAATGTACCTGTAGGTGTTACAGAGCTTTTGCAAATTATGGTGGCACTATAATCCGCTTTCGGATGATGATGCTAGCTTTATCAAAATTAAATTCCAATATTGAAGCGAATTTCGAGAAATATTATTAACAAAGAAAACCAACTTACAACTCGTAATTTTGATTTTGTTCACACTCATTTATTGAAATTTTGGTGGTACGGTGAGAGGGGGATCAACTTTTCAGTGAATAAATTAAATAAGTTTAATGCAAACCGAAACTGAAGTATCAGTAAACCATGGATCATCCATTTCAACCAACAATTATCTTGTAACCAAAATTACTGATGCAAGCATTTTTTTTTACATATAATGCATTATTAAAGTTTCAAACAAATCTTCTTTAAGAAGCATCGAAATGTGGAAGAGACTGCTTACAGATTAAATTTAATAAGTCGTATTTATTTCATTTTACTTCAACGTCTTTTCAACAAGAAAATTGAGGATGTTAATTGTTTCCTTAAATCTTATGCCTTATCTTTTTAAGGGATATTTCTCAATCAAACCAAAAATATTTTTCACAATAGCGGAAATGTGCTTAGATTAGACCTGAAAATGAAGAAAAAGTAGAAATTTAAATTAACTGGTCTTCCAGGTAATGAAATTAGGTAATAAATGAATAATCCTTACAGCTAATCCTGTTACTTGAACACTGCTATTTATTTTGTTCATGATTACTCATGGTTTTTACTATAAATAATTCATGACTGAGTTCATCAGATCTTTTCGATAGGAAATTAGAATTTCTTGAACTTTCAGTGCTTAAACTTAAATCATAGAGGAAGCTGAAGCTTTAGAAAAACTTTTAAAAATAAACTAAAAAGAAACGCGCAATTTCCAAGAATCTTCATTTCAGAGCAAATCAAGGTTATTTCTCAGAATGAAAGATTCCGCTAAG